TTTAGGCCACCTGTGGCCCAAATAAGGTAAGGGAGGGGGGTTTAGCTTATTTAGGCCATATGTGGCCTAAATAAGGTCACCCTAAATTTTTAGGTCAAAATTGAAGTTTGTCATAATTGTTATGAACGAACCATTTTAAAGGTATTCTAAGGGTTTTTCAGTGAATAAACTTTGAATTCTCACTGCATAGAGAAATCTATCATATTTTAAGGAAAGTCTAATAAATGAAAACCATTTTATGTGAAAGACAGAAAAATATAAGTAAATTTTAGGGGCCCAAAGTAAAATTTTTCATAATAGTTATGAACGAAACAGTGTGTCATAATGGTTATGAACGAACTTTAAATTTATGCATAACATGCCCTATGACCAGTTTGCGTTTAAAAATAGCTGTTAAATGGTCTTTCATTTATCACTTGACTATAATTAAACCACAGTGTTATTTTAGACAGTTCTAGTCAATGAAACTTGACATAATTGATAGTATTTTGGGCACTTATTGTTCGTTCATAACTATTATGACATAAAAAAGTAATTTTATCAAAAATTAATAAAGATTTTTACAAACTGTCAATTCTATTTATTTTTGGAAGTTATATGCTATGTCTCAAAATATAACCTCAGCCTAGCTGAAGAAAGGAACTTTGAGTATTCATAAATTTGTGTCATCATTGTTATGAACGAACTTTTTGCTATTTCCGTCATTTAAGTCAGAATTACACCAAGACCATTGCATATACAGCTTTGGCAGTTACTGAGCCTGAAACAGCAATCATTAGGCTATATAATATGGGTGATTAAAGAATTATTACATAAAGTTGATTTTGGACCTCATTTGTCACACCCAGGTACTCCACCTTTTGGCAAATGCTCACATCTATGCATCCGACACAGAACGGCTTCTCTTCTCCCTAAAGGAGGTATTTGTGTGTTAGGGCCGTGTGCCCGATGCGTAATCGAGTAAAAATAACTTCATCTCTTCTGGAGAGGCCCGAAGGCTTTCGCAGCCCCAGTTTGGGTTTAATGTTTTGTAGTTTGTTATAAGTTTGTTTTTTCCAATGGCTCTCCCACAGACTGAAGGTGTACTTTTTTACTTTATTTTTAAAGTCAGTCTGTGGGAGTGTTCGTCGTCGAATATAACGCCGAGGAAACGAGCCTGGTCCTGGACGGGAATCCTTTCCCCGTATAGTGTCAAATCCGGCTGCAGTACACGTCTGCCTGTTCGGCTTAAACGTCTTAAACGTGGAAAACTTGAAACCGTTATTGTTTGCCCATTTTTCGAGTTTGTGCAGCTGCGTTTGCAGCGGCCTTTCTATAGATCTCAGATGAGGATTTTTTTAACGGCAGCATATCAAAAAGTCGTCAACGTATAATGAGCCGTTTATGCTGTTTTGGAGGGGTTTTACGATGCAATCTATTTTGATTTCAAATAGGAGAGGAGAAAGGATGCTCCCCTAGGGGACTCCTTCCTCCTGTTGGTGGGAGTCTGAAAGGGAGGATCCGACATAAACCTGGAAGGAACGGTTCTTCAGGAAATTTTCAATGAAGGCAGGGAGGTGACCGCGTATGCCGAGTGCCTGCAGGTATCTGAGAATGCGTACTTCCACGTAGTGTCGAAGGCTTTTTCAAGGTAAAAAAAGATGACAATCATGTGGCCTCCTTCGGCAAACGTCTCGCGTATAAAGGTCTCCAGGCGGACCAGGTGATCCAGAGTGGATCGAGTTTTCCTGAACCCGCACTGGACACCGCTCAGCGAGCCCGTCGTATGTATGTATAGTATAGGGTTTTACGGCGCTCGCAACTGCTAAGGTCATATGAGCGCGCGAAACACAAGTTGTTCACCTTTGCAAAAGTTCACTTCATCACTGGTTAACTAATTGACTTTAAAATGCTAAAAAGTTAAAATATTTAAATTCAGTGTAAATACATTTGTGTCCTACTTGTGTTAATTTTGAAAATAAAATTAAAGTAAAACAAAAAAAGAAAAAAAGAAAAAAAAACCCCACCCTCCAAAAGCAGACACCCCCCCCCCCCCCCCCCCAATTATTAAAATGTCGGGTACCCCACTGGTACTTGGGTATTTTTTTCATTACCCGCGTACATCACCTGTGTAATCCCAGCCCTACAAGGGATCTAAACTTGACTTCAAGATATTTGCACCAGTAGCTCCCTCTGGTTTGTGCACTTCAAGTTCTAGAACTAGATCTAACTTACATTTGAATTATTTCCTGGGGTGCAGATCAGTAATGAGGATGATTTTGAAGGAATTCCACAAAGACCAATCTCCGTCGTGAGTGAAACTAATAGATTTATTAGAGCACATCACAGATCAGAATTTGGCTCCCAAGATGAGGCACGTGTAAGGTCAGTTTTAATACATGTACAATACAGTTATCCTGTTATATCGAGAGGGAGGGGACCGGTGCGAAATGTCCGTTATACCAGGATTGTCGTTATAAGGAATCCAGTAATAAATTCAATGGAAATAATAAAGTAAGCCTAATCTATGTTTGGTGTTCTGTTTATTTCTTTTTGTTATCTCCCCTGATGACGACATTGTTGTACATGACCTCTAGGTCTTACTTGATCAGAAATCGAATCGGGTTTCTTTCTCAAGCGCTAGTGATGTTGACAGCATGGCGTTGGCGATCAGAAAGAATGCGCTCTGGGCTAACTCGCCGGCTGTGTTGTCCCCTAACCCACCTCACCCTGTGGTGTGTTTTGTCTGCTTGCGCACATTACTACACATTCACTCCATCCACCACAGCATTGTGACCTCTCCATAGTCACCGTAGCGGTAGGCCTAGATAATCTAGACTAGGCTGGCCTATCACACAATGCGTTCTGCTTGTCTGCGCTTATCACACCCTCCCCACTCATTCGCTCCGGCCTTCATTGTTGGCAAACGTGGGCTCTCCTATTCTTTGTTTTGTTCAAGGAGTTGATGTAAGGCCCTAAGTTTCACTAAATCACCGACAAGTTTCTCAACTGGCGAGGTTTATTACAACTGGCCAGTGCGCTGTGCACAGCAGCAGCAATAATCCGCTATAACCGACTCCCGTGTTCGTCCGATTGCGCTACAGCAGTATTGTTTTTACAAAGATAAAGAAGGGAAAAAACGGGTTTTTAGAATAGTGTCTTTATAACAGACTTCTCGTTATTTCAGGACTCATTATAAGTGGACTCCACTGTAGCATTATAAGAGACCAAATTTCACTTAGTTTGATTTATTTGTTTTAATTTCATTTGTATAAAAGAGAAGAAAAGTGTGTACTCCATGTTCATTACCATGAATTTATTGTTAGAAAATGACATGAAATGCTATGAATGAAAAAGTATAAAAATTCTATTTTTCATCATAAGCCATAACTTTACATTTTTGGAAAGCTTATAACCTGTAGAATATGCTGAAAGGGGTCTTATATTCATAAGAAATAAACTCAGGGATATAGGGACATATTTGTAAACAAAATACAATCTGACGTTCACTGCCCATGACAGAAGGTCAAGGTCAATAGAACATTCAGTTTTTTTTACCCACAGTTGTGTAAAAATGAGATAGATGAAGCTCTCTTGGAACCAGTTTGGAAAGATTACCCAGGACAGAGATAAATGGAAGAAGCTTGTATGTGACCTATACCCTGCCAGGGGTGGAAAGAATTGAAGATGAAGATGAATATAAAAATACTCTTCAACTCATAAGCTATCAGAAAATGTATAGTTATCAGTACCTTATTTGCTGTCTTCTAATGCTATTCTTTTTTTTCTTATCTTTACTCTAAAACCGTAAGTATAAGCCTTGACACCACAGTGCATTGTATTGGGCATTTGGAGGGTTAAATGTTGGCTAGAATAAATGATGATGATAAATGAAGAAACAATAGATGTTGTAAACATGCCCTTAAGAAATAATAAAAAAACCAAAAAAAAAACATACAGTAGTCTCCGCCTAAACGCATGCCATACAAAAGCACGCTCTGCTGAAACAGACGCTTTCGTCATATGACAGCTGTTTTTACTTTGTAATCTAAACGTACAAACGCACGCACACTCCTTATAAACGCACGCTTCGATCCGCAAAACACGCCGACAGGTAAAGCTTGACAAAAAGAAATTTTCACTACAACCTGCACAGCTTGCATAAGACAAGCCTAGAAAACCGGATATTTGGTGAGACTGCCTCTCACGCCGAACAAAAAGAGTTAATGACAGCATTTTCACACCCAACTTTCCAGACACATAGGTCTAGGACTGGTCGGTGAAATGTTGGGGGATTGGGAAACTGAAAAGTTTTTTGATTGGTCACTGGAAATGCATCTTCGAGAAGGTTTCTGACTGGTGTTTGAGTGGCTGCATGAAACATATAGTTAGACCTAGGTCTACAATGTGTAACACGCGTGAATGCTGCAAAACACTAGATAGGCCTCTACAGGATTAAAGAATAGTCAAATAAAAGCCTAATCGGCAGCGCTCGAAGAGCTTATAACGTACTCGTTGAACGAATCACAAGAGAAATGTTTCTTTGAAAGTAGAGATCTATGATTCTGATGTCGTCCATGAATTTACGGTTGGGTGTGGTCGCTTGGAAAGCCACATGGCAGGGCCATCGTCTCTATGACTATCACTAACAGTTTCCTCTTGGCCTATCTGTTTCCGACATTTTATGGTGCAATTCATTACATTGAGTATGTCTTTCTGCACCCCCCAACCACACACACACACCTATTCAACACATTTGTATTCCTAACTGCAGCCGGGGAATCCTTCACAAAATAGTCAAGCGTTGTCACATTATAGGCCAAAATGACCCCCACCCCAAAGGGAGGTAACTAGAATATCAAGGAATTGAGATGACTGCATCCCTTTATGTAAACCCACGCTCTGTATAAACACATGCTGAAGAGCCCTCCCGAGAACCCTGTGTCTAGGCGGAGACTACTGTACCATGATGAAATGATGATTACAAAAATCATAGTCGAATCTGAACAATTGTGAGAGAGAGAAATCAGTGATGCTCGTCAAAATAACAAAATCAAAGACACCAGCATTTTTCCGTTGGTTGCGCAATTTTTATAGAATTTTTGTTGTTAGACTCAACACCTTTTACATTTATTAAAAACATTTTTGTAAGGATTTTACTGAAAAATGTTGATCAAAGGCACAAAAAATGTACATTTTTCCCGTTTCGAAGGACTCTCAAGCTATGGAAGTCACCAAATTTAGGTAGTCATTTTCTCGCTAAGTTTTCCTCTGAAACCAGGTGGACCCTACCTCCTTCAGTAGCAAATATCTCATACCAGGAAGAAATAATAAATATATTTTAAACATCATGACGTTAACCGAGACAAACACGGAAAAAAAAACCCCTACGCTACACTTGTAATCATCATCTCGCCATGGTGGCATCTATCTGTCGCACCCAGGGCAGGGCCAGCATGACCTTTCTGCGGTAATTGGGGTCCTGTCGCTTGTCGGCACCAAAGTAGAGTGGGTTCCTCTCCAGGTACACCGTCTCCAGCTTCTTGAGCTGTGTCAGGGCCTCCACCTCTTCCCACGAGTCTACCTGATTGTCGTTGAACTGGGGAGAGAAACAGCCTGCTTGTTTTTTCTGTTATCAAAAGAAAGGTAGTTTTTATGCAAGCGCCAAAATAGAAAACTATGGAAGGGAAGACAACAGCTGCCTTTTTCAGTGTCAAAAGAGAAAAGGGGAAAGGGGGGGGGGAGAAAAGTATAGTCGTCTTTTTAGTGGTGTCAAAAGAAAAAGCTGATGAGAGTTTTGTCGTAGTTTAGTATGGGGTTTTACAGCGCTTGCAACTGCATAAGGTCATATGAGCGAGCGAAACACAAGTTAGTTTTATTTGCAACAGTTCACTGTATGGCTGGGTTCGGGTCAGTAGTTAGATCTTAAAATGTTAAAACATTAAAAATTCTGTGTAAATTTTCAATCTAAAACAACTTTCCTAAATAACATAACAATTTTAAATAATTCAATTTCACTCTATAATTTTCCATAAAGGCCAATGGCCTTCATAAAATCCAAAATTCTGCTGGGATCAACGACGTGTCTTGCAATTTTTTGCATTTAAAGTATTTCCTTCAGGTCTCTCCAAAGTTTAGACATTCTGTTAAAACGTGTCTAACGGTAAAATCGGTGTCGCATCCGACACAGAACGGCTTCTCTTCTCCCTGAAGGAGGTATTTGTGTGTTAGGGCCAAGTGTCCGATGTGTAATCGAGTAAAAATAACTTCGTCTCTTCTGGAGACTGCCACCACAAGTTCGGGAAAGTTCGTGCAGCTTTTGAAAATGCGAATCCTCTGTATTTTCAAAAAAATTGAGAATAGAAATGTTGGAAAAATAATGCGATATTTAAGAAGAGAAATGAAACATCGCGTCCGAGTAAATCACAGGGGAAGGGGTACCCTATATTTTTTAAAAATCATATAAAATCACACATTCACTTCCCACAAATAACACTCGCTCACATAGTTCAAGCCATGAACTAAAGGGCTGCAGCATGGAGGAAATTTTGGTGAATTGCAAAGGTGTGACCCACGCCTGCCGGATTACTCTGCGGTGGGGTGAGACCACCCTCGAAACTAATACGATCATCCTAGGAGACTTTTTAACGTTGGGAGCTGGGGAAGGGTCTTTTAGGAGTGAAGTTTCCATGTGAGTGTAGTTGTTAGTTGGACTCCGGGGCTCCCCACCTGCCACCGAGCCCAACAAGGGGACACATTGCTTGGAAAAAGCGGAGCTATACTCTTCACGGGAGTGTGCAAAACCCTCCCGTCAAGATTGACCAAGGGCCTGAAGGAGTATCAGCTCCAAACCGAAAGGGTGGTATGGGCCGTGCCACCCTCCTGTCTAAGAGGAAAACCTGGGCCAAAGAGGTGTGTTGGCCAGGTAGTCCGCAGACCGATCTCACCTCAGCTACCAGGTTTCCCTCCGCACAGGTCGCAGCTCATGGTCAACGAGGCGCCCACTCTGTGGGAAGGGTGACCTCTAGTTTTGCTCCACATGAGGTCGGCGGTGGAAGCAGAGATAGAAGAAATAATAAAGAAGGAAGGAGAAGAGGAAGATACATCAAAGGTGTCACATCTGGAACCCAGAGGCTTGGGGTCCGTGTGCAACACGTCGTCATTGGAGGGGTTACACCTTCTACAGACGGGGTAGTGGGTCTATTTATATACCCCCAACACACAGAGCGGAAATTATGGGTATCAGGATGAAAACATATTGAACCGCAAGCCACAAAAATTCTCTGAAATACATGTACAATGGCGAGTCGTGGGAAAAGGTTATCTCCAGGTTCATCCGTAGGCGTCAATATTGGGGAATAAACCCGTATATTTGGTAATTTCCGGCAACGATCGCATGTGACCGATCTCTGGTGACGGTCATGTAGACCTCACGGGTCGTGGAGGACAGTGAGCGAGCTTTTGCGTACTCACGGACGGCGAGCCCACTTCGCCTTGCCGGAGACTAATGATCCTTTTGTAAATTTAGTTGTCACTTGGCACTCCTCATGAGGACTCCGACCCCGCGGTAATAGCCTGTTGGCTGGAGGGCACTCAAGAGAGATTAACTTCTTCTTCTTCTTCTTCTTCTTCTTCTTCTTCTTCTTCTTCTTCTTCTTCT